ATATATATATATATATATATATATATTTATTATTATTATTTTTTTTTTTCTAGTAAAACATTATGTATGTATTTATTTTTATCCATTAATTATTTTAATAATTATTTAATTGTAATAAAAAGTTAGCGATAAATGGAGAATGGTTATGAATGAATTTTTTGGTGCATTATAATTTCCTGTTTTGAAAAAAAAAAAAAAGTAAAAATTTAAATATTAAAAAACAAAAACTAATCTAAAACAACAATTTTTGAAAAAATACTATTTCATCTAGTAAACTGAAATAAAGCTAATCGGAGATTTACCTAAACTGTTTCAACTAATAAATGTTTGTTAGGCACGACGCGAAGCGGAGTAACCCTTAGCTGTTATAAGCTCACTGTAAACCACGGCTTCACGTGGCTTATTGCTTTTATAAAACGGTTATTCCATATACGTAGTAAGGTTTCACAGATTAAAACGGAGCAAATAAAGTGTAATGATATAAATAAACACAGTATTCTTCCACCAAACAATGTAGTTCCTCAGAAACAGTTGTGGTTGCTACAAAGTAGCTGCAGAGCAACACACAGAAGTAAACAAAGGTGTGTGTTTGTAGAGTCATTTACAACAGCTTCGAACACAGCTCAACCTGGTTTGGCTGCAGGTGAAGGAGGGTCCGGGAGATGCTCGGCCCAAGCCGAGGAAGCGTCGCTCGCGGGAGTGCATACGAATGCCGGAGGACATCACCGAAGAAGAGCTGCAGAACATCGCCGACCGCGCTAAAGACAAAATCCTGGATAAAGAGAGCGTGAGTGTTGAATGAGTGTCGCGCCGTTGTGTTTCTGATGTATATTAATATTCACGCGTGTGATCTCAGGGCAGCACGTGTCACCAGTGCCGGCAGAAGACCCTCGACACCAAGACTGAGTGCAGGGGCCTCTACTGCGGCGGGCTCAAGGGGCAGTTCTGCGGCCCCTGTTTACGCAACCGCTACGGAGAAGACGTCCGCGCCGCGCTGCTGGATCCTGTAAGTCACCACACGCCGCTGTTACTGTTAGCTCAACTAAACCTACAACTCATTATTTTAGATGAAATTAAGCTGAATTATACATTTTAGGTGAAAAACTTAAACGGAAATTATAATGTTGCCTTGGGAACTAACTGAAATGAAGATTAAGCTGAAGTTACTAAAACTGAAATAAAAATAAAGCTAATTAGAAATATTAAAAAGCAAAAACTAATAAGTAAACTAAAACTATATTACAATTCATGAACTGAAATAAAGCTAAATAGACGTTTAAAAATAACTAATTAAATATAATTAATTAAAAATAACTATTTCGGCTAATAAATAAAATATAAGTATTAGATTTAAAAAAATTAAAATTAAAAATATGAATATAAATTCAATATAAATAATTAATAATAAAATAATTAATATAAATTAAAGCTAAATGTAAATATTGCATATATATATATATATATATATATATAAAAAGACAAACTAATAAAAACATTTTTTAAAAATCTAAAAATAACTTTCACTAAAATGAAAATGAGAAATTGTTGCCGTAGCAACTGAATGACGAAAATTACTAAAAGTGAATTAAAAATAAAGCTATATAAAATATAAAAAAATGACTAAAATTTGTAAAAAATAAAAAAATAACTATTTCAACTAACTAACTGAATTAAAAAAGTTAAACAGATATTTAAAAAAAAAAACGCAAATAAAAAAACTATTAACTATTTAGACTAATAAATGAAAAATAAAATATAAACATTAGATGAACAACTAAAATGAAAATAAGAAAGGTTGCCATGGCAACTGACTGAAAATCTGAAGTACTACAATTTTAAATTGAATTAAAAAGGTAAAGCTAAATAGAAATACATTTAAAAAACGAATAAATAAAAAACTAAAATATCTAAAAAAAACAATTTAACTAATAAACTGAAATAGAAAGGGAATTAAACATTTAAAAAAAATACATAAATGAAAAATAAAAATAGCAATTTCAACTAATAAATGAAATAAAATAAATGAGATGAAACGCTTCAACTTGAAGGAAAACTAGAGCGGTTGCCGTGGCAACCACCTGAAATAAGTTGAAGTACTAAAATGACTTAAACTGAAATAAAAATCAAGCGCAAAAGATACAAAACTAAGATTTAAATGAGAACTGAAAATATAAAAGTCTAACTCGGTTAAATCTAATAAAGCTGATTTAAATTATTAATAAATACGACAATAGTTTATTAATTATAATACTGAAGTAACACTGGTTTGAACAAACTCTCAAAACGGAGGATTAAACTCGTCCGAGCAGCACACAGAAGCCACTGCCAGGTTTCAAGCACGCATTTTCTTTATGAAGCGTACACTACTAGTGAATATTCACGAGCACGAGAGGTTTTGGTATGAGAGCCTGTGCTGTGTGTCGTGCTCCTGCAGGCGTGGGAGTGTCCCATCTGTCGAGGAGTGTGTAACTGCAGTCTGTGCCGCAAGCGGGATGGACGCTGTGCCACCGGCGCTCTCACCAGACTCGCCAAATTCTACGGACACGACAACGTCCGGGACTATCTGGAGAGGTGCATCACTACACACTCAGCAAGCTTTACTATATGTCCTGCCCTGAGATTTGACGATAATATTTCAGCTTTCGCACGCTCGCAGTTTAGTGGAGGTTAATGACATGCAGATAAACACATAACTTTTCTTTCGTTTTTAGTCAATATTTATCTATTTTAATGTTTATTTTATTTTTTCTGATTTAATTATATGTTTTTCATCAACTCACAAAACAACTTCATACTGGAGATTTTTGTATAAAATAAAATCAAGTGCTGCCCTACATTAAAAAATAAATAAAAAGAATAATATTATTTTGTTTATTATTTTTAATAGGGATTCACAAACTTTTTACATCAAATATTTTCTAAAATAGTTTAAAAAATAATAATAAAATATATATTTTTTTAATTTATTTAATTAGCTTTTCAACTACTCACAAACCACCCTCATAATGAATATTTATTTATACATTTATTTAAATAATTAAATTTTTCTGATGTAATTATTATCTTTCATTAACATTAATAATTAAATACAAAAAATATACATTTTAGATTTGATTGATCAACTCACAAACATATAATACAAAAATATTTGTATTTAATTTTTTTGTAGATATTTCTAATTTAACAAATTTTATTTTTTCTGGTATAACTAATTATTATATTTATCGACTCACAAACCACCATCATAATAAATATTTATACATTTTATATTTCTTCTATAATTAATTATTAGCTTTTCACGAGCTCACAAACCACCCACATAATACATTTTATAAAAAAAAAAATTCTTTAGATATTTCTGAACTTTTATTTAATTTTTTTAATTTATTATGTATATATTAGCTTTATCAACTCACAAACCATTCTAAATAAATAGTCTCCGTTTGTCCAGACAGCAGCCGCTGGTCTCGAGGTTAATGCTGCTCTGTGTGTGTGTGTGTGTGTGTGTGTGTGTGTGTCTGTGTGTCTGTGTGTGTGTGTGTGTGTGTGTGTTTGTCTGTGTGTGTGTGTGTGTGTGGGTCTGCTGTGTGTGTGTGTGTGTCTGTCTGTCTCTGTGTGTGTGTGTGTCTGTGTCTGTGTCTGTTTCAGTCTGCAGAAGGACGTGGAGTGAAGACGATCATCCGTGTGACACAGACGCATCTGATGGGAATCAAGCTGATCCTCATGTTTCTCTCCTGACACTTTTAGAGTTGAGCATGAAACCACTGAGAGTTTAAGGCAGTGTTCAGCACTGATATGCAAATCAGTTGTTTCTTTTATACTTCATGATGTTAAACTGTGTTTTACTGATTTTATTTTTGCATACTATTCTCTTGCTAATTAAAGGCCGAGATATCATGAGATCCTGTAACAGATGTCTGTGATTACAGAGTGTTTTCTCTCATTTGCACAATTTGTGTTTTTCTCTCTGAAAACTTTTTATTGTTAAGTAGTTTGAATAAAGGTCCTTTTATTTCACATTTTACATGCTCCGGGTTTTTTTTTTACATACCAAATGATGTGTAGTGATAAAGATTTAATTAAGCACAAATAATAGATTGTTTCTTTGTCTTTCCTGTTGCTCTGGCTTGGATGGAGTGAATGTGAATGGAGAAAAGTGTATTATAGATGGTAAAAACCTCAAACACCATCAGCATCCAGAACATCTCACAATACAATCATTTTCTTCCTTTATTAAATGTTATTACAAAAATATATTAAGGGTAGATACTACAGATGCATTGTCAAAAAAAAATCAGTTCATCAAATTGAAACTAATATTATTTTACATTTTTAGCTTTGTTTAAAGTCGTTCTTTGGCTTTTCAACACATTTTAGTTGAATGCAAATGTGCTCCTAATGCTAGAGGAATTGTATGATAAATAATAGGACATTTTATGAAATCTAAAATTACTGCTTTGCTCCAAAATCACAAGATATATATTTGAAATATAACGTAAAATATTAGATATTTATGTTGGCTTCAGAAAGCACGGCGAAAGTAGTTCCAGGCAGCTTTGGACCGCATCACATGACCATATCACTTCCCCAAATTATTTCAGGTACAGTTTTCCTCACCTTTGGTGCATTTCCCGAACCATCCTTAATATTTGGAAAGAAGTATGTGCATTTCTCAAAACAATTCGTACAAACAGCACCACACAATGGATTACCTGCAAAAGCCTGTAACTTACTCAAAATCTTTAGTTCATCTCTCAAAAGTAAGTATTTATGGCAATGAGCATATCAGTGCCATCAGAATGAACGTGTCATTGTTCACAAACAAAATGCTTCGTCATGTTGTCAATATCACAGTGCACTCTGTTAGTATTACCTGATGTAAACTATGGCAACAGTTTGGATGCAGTTACTGTATTGAAGTGCAGAAGGCTTAAGTCTAATAGAAACGTAGAAAATATGCTTGCAAGTTTATGACAGCTAGATCAACCATTTTGCATTTAATGACTTATACGATGAACTAAAGACTAGATGTTTTGAGGGGTAAGACTGTTGCACAGAGAACTATATAATACATTTTGAGCAACATGACATTAGCAATTGATAATGTAGGAAACCGCAGACAAATGTACATAATCAATTGCATGAATGCACCAAAGCAATCGCAACTTGTTCAAAAGAATGAGAAACTGCTTTTATATGATGTGCACAAGTGACTCGATGATGTGGAGGTTGAACAAGTAGATTTCTGATCTGAGAAATGCACCAAAGCGACTGAGAAAAACTGTATTTCAAAGGTCTACAACAGCAAAATAACCAAAACCCACAAAGACACTGACCAAGCAAATACATTTAGTAAACAATAGGATACAAACAACAAATTATTTCCATGTTTTTGCCACAAAATGACATTGAGATATGTACGGAAACCACCTACTCTCTGTCTCCCGCTCTCTGTCCCTTACAAATACACACATACAGTACAGACACTGCTACGTCTTTACGAAAGTTCATCATTTGCATGCATTTTTAAGCGATTTTACGCCATTCAAGCACAAGAGCACATGAAAGAGCTGTTTTGTGTGACAGAGAGCAGTCTCCGACAACACGTGAGCCCCGAGGCGCTGAACGGACAAATACATACCAAAACACATGATAGCGTGGCGAATACCATCGAAAACATGTCTCAAGTGCACAAACTGTTGAGAAATAAATTATATGTGGATCGTTATATTCAAGTGCGCTTAATTTGATTTTGGCATTGGTGGGGACATAACAGCAGACATCAGACATTTAATTGTTTGCTCAAAATTATTGCTAGGGACAATTTAGTAGTCTCTGATATTGGTATTGATATTAGCATCTACGCCCATGATTATATCAGATTCATCCATTAAAGTGACCATGTTTACCGGCTGCTGTTCATCTTTAATGTCAATCCATCAAAAAGAGAAAATCACTCATTGTTCTTGGCTGCATAACTTTTGTTGCTTTAACATGAATAAATCAATAATTCATGGAAACTATGCAGTGTTATTTTTACATTTGATTGATCTGAACACCTACAAACCTGAAACCTGTTTTTTTTGTGATATTGCATGTAATTTGCTTGTTGTCAAATTTAACGCAATAAGCAAATTACAAGGGTCAGTTAAAGTTAAAATAACAAGGGTCTATAGAAAAATAATATGAAAACAATAACTGTTGTACTTTTTTTGTGGCAGGGTCAGCTCAAGAACACAGAACACATGTGATCTGGCTCTTTTGGCTTTCCCAAGCCACCATCAAAGTTTGTTCACAAACCTTAGCCTCTAGTTTAATATAAAATTGGAAAGATAGATGGATGGATGGATGAATATATGATGGATGGATGGCTGGATGGATGAATATATGATGGATGGATGGATGGATGGATGGATGGATGAATGATGGATGGATGGATGGATGGATGGATGATGGATAGATGGATATATGATGGATGGATGATATATGATGGATGGATGGATGGATGAATGATGGATGGATATATGATGGATGGATGATATATTATGGATGGATGGATGGATGAATGATGGATATATGATGGATGGATGGATGGATGAATGATGGATATATGATGGATGGATGATATATGATGGATGGATGGATATATGATGGATGGATGGATGATAGATAGATAGATAGATAGATAGGATATATGATGGATGGATGGATGGATGAATTATGGATATATGATGGATGGATGGATGGATGGTATGATGGATGGATGGATGAATGATGGATATATGATGGATGGATGGATATACTGTATGATGGATGGATGGATGAATGATGGATATATGATGGATGGATGGATATACTGTATGATGGATGGATGGATGAATGATGGATATATGATGGATGGATGGATATACTGTATGATGGATGGATGGATGAATGATGGATATATGATGGATGGATGGAT